TGTGCTAAATTTCAGAGATACAAAAAGCCTAAGACAAAATATTTGTTATTGAGAAGTTCACATTTACCGTGTGAGGGTAGGAAAGGGGAACAGGTAGGCAATCAATATGCAATAGGATTAATATTGTGATGGCAGCATATACAATGTGCAAAAGTTAGAAGATTTGAACCGCATCTTGAAAGATGGGTGGGAGATGAGAGGACAGTAGGAGAGTGATGGGAAAGAGCATTCCACGCACAGGACACAGGGTGTACAATGGCAAGGAGGCATGGAAGAGATGGTGTGTTTGGAGAGCAGTGTGCAATGGAGCTTCAGCATAAGGTACCAGGGAGAAAGTGACAGGAGGAATAGCTGAAGAGGCAGAGTGGAGCAGACCACAATATCCTTATGAGTGATGCCTTGAACAATCAGGCTTACAGACATTAGAAAAAGGATGCTTTGTGCTGGTAGTAAAACAAATGCCTAACACTCTGAGGTCATGTGAAAAGAGAGAAAATGAAAAGGAAAGAGAAAGATTTGGACTTCACTGTACATTTTAAGTAACGTTTAACGTCAGTTTCAACAGTGGAACAGTCCCAGCTGTCTGATGTAAGAAAACATATTTTCCAAGTACAGTGCTTTCCAGATAATAAGCTGGCTGAATTTAAGAGACATTGAAAATGAAACAGTACTTTTATTATTTATTCAGTTTAGAGAATGAGACGAGAATAAGCATTTGTTCTTTTTTATTGCTTTCCACTATGAAAACTCAAAGGTGTAATTCAGAAAAGTCTAACCAACATGGAGGCATCATAAAACATAATATCCCTAACACCTTATCATGAGTACTTCTAATTTACAGGTAGTGGGAGGAGAGGGGCAGAGACTAAATGCCTGCCATCCTCTCTGCCGCAGTGTGACAATCGTTCATTTCGCAGAGGAAGCAAACATCTGACTCCTCTCACCACCACCAAGACTCAGAGTCTCAGTCCGGGTGGTGTGATCCTTTGTGTACTCTTGCATTCCTAAGTATTCCTACTTGGCTCCTCCTTTTGAAACCTGAGAGTGCCTGGCCCAACCTGGCCCTGAGCTGAGCTTAATCACACATGCCACCCATATCACGTTGTACTACCTGGAACATCCACTGCTGTATTACTACCTGAAGGCACCTCCTGTAGGTGGGAGATAAAACTCCCAGGCTGCCAAAAATTTTCATTTTCACTACTGGAGCAAATTTTCACAAAGGAAAGGCATTCTACTTGCAAAATTTCTTGTGATTTTCCATTTAGATAGGATGCCCCTTGAATAAAAAAAAAGTTGCAGCAGCAGGGCAGCTAGAGGGCCAAAGCTGAACACCAATGCAGAAGCAGTGCTTAGAGAAAACACAGCATCCAAAGATGAACAGTGAAAATGCAGACTGTCAACTTCTGGAAACAGAAGACTAAGTCTTTTTCACTACTGTACCCCACAATGTTTCATAGGGAATAAGCACTGAATGCATATTGACTGAATGAAATCAAGAACATCCCTGGGCCCATAGGACTCTAAGTAAATTCAGTAACTTGCTGATCCTTTCAAAATACTCTTTAAAAAAGTCCCAGCATCAATGCTACTGCAATGATACCACAACCTTTTAGTTAAAGGAGGAGCATGTAGCCCCATGCTGTAGCTATTTAGGGGGATCTACTTAGATGAGATGTTCTATAGAAGAATATAGATATGCAGAAAGGAACCTACTTTAAAAGAATTTAAAATAAAATCAGATTCTGTATTCTTTTGATGACAATTAATAATCACAATGCCTTGGTCATTATGGCACTTTGTTATCCTGAAGGAAAAAAACTGTTTTGGAGAAATTGAAGAACTTTCCTCTTGCTTCCTCACAGTAAAGCTAAAAATAAAGACACTGTGCTAAAGCCAATGGTATTCGGTTTTCATTCTGAAAGAAGGTGAAACTGGGTAGGTTACTATATATAAAGAAGTTAAAAGAATACAAAGTGATCTATAGGTCATCACAATGGTACTCAAACATCCTAATAAGTAGTGGGGCTGAAGAGAAGAGACTTTCCACTGTCAATCTCTTTATCCATCAGTTAATCACGGGCTTCCCTAAGCAAATGGAATGTTTGCTTAGGGCTGCCAAATTTTATTTTGTGCCACTGACTATTTATAATTTAAGTATAATTTATACTTGTATATCATGCCTTGTCCACCACCACCACCAAGACTATAAGCCCTTGGAGGTCAGGAACCATCTCTCACCTACTCTCTCTAAACTACACAGTGGCTCAAATGCCATGTCCTCTACAAAGCCTTCCATGATGACATTCCTCCACAGCAGATGCTCTCCCTGCAGCATCCTGCTGTGTTGAGTACCAGCACTTCCCCTTTAACTCAAGATTTTAGCACAATCTCAGTCCTCTAAATAATTTCAGCCCCTTAAGGAATTAAAAGAAGTTCTTTCTCAAAAAATAGCTGGCATTCATGTCCAAAATAATCAAAACTAAAAGCTAGCCATGAGTAGACACATATTAATCAAGCTAAATTACAGTATGATAATTTTTCTTCTAGTGCAATTATCTTTGGCTTTAAGATACAAATGAATCATTGGGGTTCTGAATCTCCTCTGGCAAAGAAACACAGTGGGAGCTGAATGCTCAACATTGTGAGTGCCATCAGAACAAGCTCTATAGATGTGAATTTGCTAAGTTAATACTCCTTCATTATCTCCATTAGCTAACAGCGCATGTGTAGTCACTGCACATAATTAACTGCTCTAACAAACATGGACGTTTGAGATATTAACTTTCCTATAGACTCCAAATCTTCAATAAGCAGCTCTCAACAATTCATTATATTAAGCATGCATGTCACCACACTCCTATTAAATATGCATGAGAATAAACACCATCCATGTTGCAAACTGTCCAACATCATCTTTAAAGTAATTTACTACCTTTTAGATACTGTAATTATAACGGCACCCAGGTGCCTCTATAATAAATATAAATTTAACTACCTGACTTGTAAATTACCAGGATTATAACTAATTCCACTTTCATTGAATTTTTAACGTGCATTCAAGTGAGAATATTTTATAACACAAAGTATAAAATATTTATAAAGTTAATATGCTTTATGACATTGAAAATGTCTAATTTAAAATCACATAAAGAGTGTTCGCTTCAGCAGCACATATACTAAAATTGTATAAAGAAAGGGTAAATTAATTTTCTTACACTGAGGTATTTTATAGACAAATAATTCAAAATTGAAATTTATCAAGAAATTAGCATGCAACATAATGATATGTACAAAAAAGTGCAATGGAAAGTATGATTTGTTGCAGTATGATGTCCTATTTCTAATCAAATACTTTATAGACTTTACAAATTCTACATGTACGCAAATTATTATAACAAAGACTAGATTAGATGCAAAAAAGAGCAAAAATAAAACTCACCAGAAAACGAAAATAAAATTTCAAATTAAGGCGAAAAATAAAATGCATCATTAACCTCAGATCATGTTACTCTAAACGTTATGGTTAGTATGGCCACAGGTTATTAACTTAAGCATGATAATGAAAATAAGAGAAATAGCCACAGTTTACATGTACCAAGGGCTTACTTCACTTACTGTGTCAGGCACTGTAATCAGTGCTTTACATTCATATCTCCTTTAGTTTTCACAATAACCCAGTGAAGGAGATGTTAATATTATCTGCACTTCACAGATGAGGGAAGTGGAGGTTTACACAGATTAAACGACTTGTCCAAGGGCTCAGCAGGAGAGTGGTCTGACTCCAAGCCTATCCTCCTAACCACACAGGCAGCACCCAGCTCCCAGCTCTGGATCTACCAGTTCCATGTGTGGCCTTGGGTAAGTCACCTGAAGTCTCTAAAGCTCATTTTCTTTAACTGCAAAATGTGAATAATATTAATATATGCCAGAATTACTGACAACTAAATAATACAGTTTATAAGAAAGTACTGTACAAGTCGTGGAGCTACATAATACTGCCTGTTACGTTATTAATGAGATAGGAAAATAAAATGTTGAAAATAAAAAAAAACTGCTTATTGGCTGTTGGTCAAAATTTTCCAACAAAAATGGTATACCTAGGTAAACTTTCATGGTTGTTCATCTTGCTTAACATAGAAAGCATTACATAAAGGCAAATAAAGCATTATCTTTATTATATCCTAAGAGACAGATAGACAAGCACTAATAAATTAAGTTAGAAGTGAATAGTAAAACTAGAAATGCAACTTTGTAGATAGTTACTGTGAAAACTACCATCAAATTCACACCACCAGATTTGGCCTTTCAAAGAGCTCTTCAAAACTAAGGCTTTTTAAAGTTGCCTGGATTCACTACCAGGCCCTAATTTACTATGATCCACAAACACATTCCGATTTCTGGCAATATTTAAATCCTTAGGCCTAGGAAGGAAAAATAATATTCAAAACTCACTATTCTTTATTTTGGATAAGGGATATGTTATCATTGGGCTTATTTTTCCACAGAGCTTTGTGGCTTAGAAAATTATTTCACATGCATTATGTCAACCAAGATCCTAATAGTTAAAAGAGGTATTTGAAAATTTGAGATCAGGAAACTGGAATTCATCAAGGTTAATAATGATAAGAAATCCATATATGTATACATCGGTGTTTTGTGTGTGTGTATGTGTGTGTGTGTGTGTATCAGCATGCAGATGTCTATCAACACGTGATTTTTGTGTATCTAGTGGCTTTCCACTTTCTTAATGTCTATATTGTTAATGACTTTTAAAAAGTATATATAGCCAAAAGAAAAAGAGGAACAAAAGTGCCACATATTTCCAGTAATTCCTCTATTGACTTTCAAGGTCCTCATGTCATTAGGTGAAGAATAAGGGAACCTTTAATTGCATAAACCCACAAATATGCTAAGTCACATTTTCAGACATCTTTACTTGATCACTTTAAGAAGTAAGAAAATTGTAGGAATATATAGATCTCCAAGGTCCCACTTACCTCCTGGCCGTTCGTGTTCTCCATCAGTGTGTAAAAGCATGGCAATGGGCATCCCTACATTCTTGGATCTTCCAGCCACAACCACATTTTTCCCAAATGTTTCAATTCCTTAAAAATGCAGAGTTTGATTTAAATGAAAAATCAACAACAAGAAGCAAATTAAACATTTGAATGGCCAACTGAAACTTCTATAAAAACTTCTAATTAAATTTGGATTATTGTGTGGCTTATCTATAATGTGCCCACATTCATTATTTATAAATATTTCTTTTTACACTTCTCGGATTTGTCACTTCCTCTCTGATTATGTCCTCATTAGAAAACCACAAACATTTTCAAGTTGCCATTAAATTACTTTTAAACACTGAGATTCACATGAAGAATTAGAAGTGCAGAGACTTAAAATATATTAACTACTAATTATAAAATAAGCAAAGTACAATGTCAAGCTTAATTGGCAATCAAACTTTGAGCAAATCTGGAACAAAATGAAGTGGGGAAAAAAGTATTTTTCACAAAGCTCATGTACTTTACTCCACAGGAGAGTGCTTTAGAGAAGTACTAACCTTAGAAACTTAGAAAAATATGAAAGATAACACACTTTACCTCTTTGGGGCATAGTTTCTTCATAAGTAAAATGAAGAAGTTAAAATTAAGGTTTTTCCAAGTACTAACATTCTAAGAGGATGACACTAGGATCTGCTTTCCCTTGGAACTTTTCTCTCTTAGTTAGAAAACAGCAAATTCGAAAGGAGAAGATGCTGCCAGAAATGGAAGTGACAGTGATGGAGGCAGGAGAGTCATCCATATAAAAGACAATGTGGATCAATGAAAGTAGAGAGAAACATCTCTACACATCTCAGGGGTCTGTGACAGCATTACAGTATTAGAGCACAATTCAAAGATAAATATTTGTAACGAGATCCTGGGTCATTAGAGATGGTTCAAATATGTTCTTCACATTTTGTTTTTAAAGATAAGAAAAAATATAATACATTGTGGAAAATGTACATCAAAATACATTAAGTTTATAGTTTAAAAGTAGAGAGACAAACCTACTATTCGGAAAATTCACTCCCTACATGGTGCAAGAGCAGTTACCTGTAACCTGGCACATGTTCCTCATTTTATTTTATTTTGGATTACTGTTTGACTTCTATAACTTTCCATCTTCCTACAGTCTGAAGTTTTATGGCTTATCATTTTCTTTCACCCAATACCACTGAGAAGGTTCCATCAAGGCAGTGCACAAACGCTCAGTTTGGCTCTGCGCGCCCCTGTCCTGTGCACTGCAAGTTACCAACCTGCTCGTTTGATTATTTCCCAGACAGCACTGGCAGTGGCGGGCATGAGAGAATGCTGGTCAAGGCACAGTCTTCCAATATTGATAATATGAAATCCATCAACATCTTTCTCAGGGGCAATGCCATTGCATACCGTTCGCTCATCCACATGGTCTGAAAAGTAAATAAAATTGGTCTAATTTTACAATTGTTCTTTATTTGGAAGTCTGGAAAATGAAATGTGAAGACCTACAGCTAGATCACTTAAGATTCAGCTTGAGTAAAGGTGTAAAGTCATGACTCTGTTCCTTTTCTTGCCAATGGCTGTAACTAACCGCTGTAAGAATATGCAAGGAGAGGGCCGGAAGTGGCTGGCGTGGTGAAAGGGAAAAATCTGAGAAATAAAACAATACCAGTGAGATCTGCAAACAGTCAGGTGATAAGCCTTTGCCTCAGTAAGTTTGCATATTTAAATCTATGTTTTTCCTATACAAGCCATTTCCACAATTAGGTTTCTATTAAACATTTCTAGCTTTACAGATTAAAAGGGCTGTGTTAATATTAAAAATAGTCATAACATCATTAGTGTCTAGTTTCCTCCCAAATGACATAACAAAAAAGCAAATATAAAACACGCACACACACACGCCACACACATATACACACACACGCGTGTCATTTCCCTAAAGCACTAGCACATTGAAATCCAAAATATCATTACGGTTTCCTATACGAAAGGAAAAGAACGTAACTTAAGTAAAGAACTAATCAAATGAGATAGGAGACGCCCATCACCTCACTTTGAAAAGCAGTAAGTATAGAAACAGAAAATAGGCTCTTACTATTCTGTGCAGAGTAGCTTAGGTTACCTTAAACCCAACAATTAACCCTTGTGCCTAAAATAATAAAATAAAAGTACATTTGTTACATAAAAGTTTCTTTGTTCATTACATAATGGATGTCATTTAGACATAATTTTTTAAAACATTATCAAAGCCCAAGTTCAAATTGTTTTCAAGGAGTTATGCCTTGTCCTAGATCTTTTGTATTCTAAAAGTGACACTACTGCCATCTTACTTTAAATAGACCCAATTTGCCATCATTAGACTACCAAAGTCCGTTACATATATAAAAGTAGTAATTTGAATCATATTCAGATAGAATCATATTCATCTGGGTCTTTGGAAAGTCTCTCCAGTCAATAGGTTTCCACTTTCAATAACTGTATTCATTCTATAATGTTCGAGCAGAGCCTCCATCTATTTTCTCTGAAGTTAGAAGATGATTATAAAGGTTCTAGTAAAACTTCTTTAAAATTTTATGTTTAATTTACTATTTGAGGACCAAAATAGTGGTTCCTTTTTTAATCTGGATGATGATGGTGGTGATTATAGTGATGATTTATTTTTTAGACATCTACCCACTCATGCAAAAGCTTCATGCCATGGATATTTTTTACAATAAAATCAAAAGTTTCGTAATGAAAAGAAAAATAACTATATTTGAAATCTCCCTATTGAACTAGGACTTAAATTAGTTCATTTCTAAGTTCAAATTTGGCTAATATATGTATGGGTTGGCCATTGATTGAAAGAATTCAAAAAGCTCTTTTGTAAATTTTGAGAGCCATCATCTCACCAATAAGCCTGGGCTACACTGAATTTTGCCATCCACTGGTCTGTACTGTTCCATTCACTGAAAATAACGTTAAGTTGTAACAAATAATTCAACTCACACAACAGCTGAAATACTCCAGAAGAAATATAAGCATCTGAAAATTTGGAGGCAAGCATGAGAGACTGGTAATTACAGACCTGTCCTCTTACGTACTTCTTAAACTGCAATGCAGTTCACAACTCAGGTCACCATTTCATAACAGTTCTGTCTCAAGCTAATTAAGTAATAGTTTAAAAGACAGATGTGTGGACACACAAAAGGTGTTATGTAGAGAACACATGAAAACCAATTATTCATGTACTGGTTATTTAGACTAAAAGAGAAAGAGCCTACATGAGTACTAAAAATGTTAAGATCATAAAAATCTAGGAAACCAATTCATACACTATTTTTATGTAACTCTATATTATCTCAGGACTGGATTAAATCTCACATACACCCTATGCCAGGAGAGCTGTAACTTTTATTATGTAATGCACAGTGTATGGCAATAATATGAATTAGTGTCTCTTACATTTAAATAGGGCTTTGCAACACTCATGTTACCATCACAAAGGCTTCCCCTTTAATATTCACAGTTACTGGGGACTAAGGTAGAAAAGATATTATAATCTTAATTTTAAAGATGAAGCTCAAAAATTTGAGACTCATCCAATCTCAAACCACTACTGTGAGAAGACTCCAGAATTCAAATCCACATCTTTTTACCCTAAAACCAGTTTTTCCTTCTGTATTACAAAAAAGTCATAAATATTAATCATCTTGACTACCACGCAAAAATCAAAATCAGAGAGGGCCCCTCATCTCTTTTTTTTGTTGCTGAGGAAGATTTGCCCTGAGCTAACATCTGTTGCCCATCTTCCTCTTCCAGTATGTTAGTAGCCATCACAGCATGGCCACTGACACATAAGTGGTGTAGGTCCATGCCCAGGAACCAAGCCCAGGCTGCTGAAGTGGAGCATGCCAAACTTAATTACTAGGGAAGTAGGGTTGGACCTCCTCATCTCTTTTAATCAAGACATTTGATAATCCTAAAATATCTCAAGGAATATACTGTTTCTTCTAGGCCTCCAAATACAACACTATTCCTAGATTAACTAATACGTGTCTAAACACATGCAAAAAAAGGCATCAAATGTTTTACAACCAATACTACCTTTTGTTATATGAGTAAGAGAAATAAATACATTTTATGTTTTTGACTGACTCCTACTGAAAGTCGCCTGATGTCCTACCCCTGGGGCCCATCACTTGAAGAAAAGAAACAATCATGAGACTCAATAGCACCAATTTTTTCACAATGGTTATAAAACATTTCTGATTCAAAGAATACACTGGCAAACAACTAATCTATTAATATCCTACTCAGATGAATGAGAAACCTGGCATTATTCACTGTGTGTGTTTTTCCTCTATATTTAAGATCACGAGAAGTCATTAAATCAAGCTGGAAGAAAAAAGTCATCAAATTAAATTCATAACATCGCAATAGAACAGCTCAGGGAGTGCCTTAAGGAACTACACTGTAGAACTACAAGACAGAATATATATTTTTGTGATTTATCTATAACACAGTTAAGTGCCTTTGGACAGGAACAGAAAAAAAAGGAACAAATTACGGGTTTATTTGCCACCCAAGGATTTTTACATTACTGTTTAAATGTACCTCTTTTCACTTACTCAGTTCCTGTTGTATAAGTGCAAGCTCATTAGCCTAGTAAATAATATATGCTGTAGCTCAATACATCTTTTTCCTATAGTTTCCTCTCTCCAAGTGCTCAACCCCTTTTCCAATCGTCATCACACATTCTTAAATCTAGTCCCACCAAACTGTGTCCCATTCCCAAGCCCTTATCGTTAATTTTTGCATTTCAGTGCTATTGCTCATAATTATTTTCCCATTACTAATTCCTTCCTTTTGGTTCTTTCACACCTTATTCATTCTTCAATAGATTGATCCATTTCCACCTGTTCCCTCATCACAAATTGCAATGATACTTTTTTCTCTTCTGTTCTCCCACTGAACTGCTATAAAAAGTACTTAGCAGATTAGTTCAGTTAATTGATCATATTATTCAATTATCTCTCTCACCTATGAGTGTGACCTTTTAGGGTACAGACCTTGTCTTATTAAACCGATTCACTCATAGCCTTCTCCATCTCAGTTGATGGCAATTTCACTCTTCTGTGCTACTTGCCAAAAAAACCTGGAGTCACCCTGAATGCCTCATTTTCTTTCACATATAACATCCAATCAACTGGAAAACCTGTTGGCTCTTCCTTCATAATATGTCTAGCACTTCATTTGTCTCATCAGGCCCATTGACACTACTTTGGTTTCAGTGGCCATTATCTCTCCAGCCAGTTCTTGCAACAGCCTGGTAATTAATTCTCTGCTTCTATATGTGCATCCATACAATCTATTCAGAAAATAGTAGGCATTATATTTTTGAAATTCATGTCTGATAACAGCACTCTTCTCTTCAAAACTCTGTTCTTCTTGCTGTTCCAACATATTAGGCATTTACTACCTTGGCTATAGCTCTTCTGTCTGCCTGGAGGCTTTTCCAAAAAAACTATCAATTTGACTAAATCCCTTTCTTTATCTTTGCTTAAATTCCATAGTCTCTGTAAGGACTATTCTGACCACGTTATTTAAAAATGTAGGTTCCATGTGTGATTTCTACTCAACATTTCTACTCAATGTTTTATTGGAAATCCTAGCTGGTGTAATAAGATGAGGAAAAGAAAAAAGAAGCCTAAAGATCATAAAGGAAGAAGTAAAACTCTCTAGTCACAGATGGCATGGTGTTTTATTTACAGAGAATATCCTAAAGTATTTACAAAACAACAAAACAAAAGAACTAATAAAGTGAATTTAGCAAGATCACAGAGTTCAAAGCCAGTATACAAAATATCAATTGTATTTCTGTATACAAGCAGAAAGTACTAGAAAATTAAATTTTAAAAATTCTATTTACAATAGTTTACAAATCATAAAATGCCTAGGAGTAAACTTTAGCATTTTGAGGATGACCTCTATAATGAAAATGATAAATCACTGCTGACAGATGATCTAAGTTAAAGGAAGGTGTATCATATTCATGGATTGGAAGACTCAATAATGTCAATTCTTCCAAATTGATCTATAGGTTCAATGTAATCTCAATCATAATCCTATGAGGTTTTTTGGTAGAAGCTATAAAATGATTCTAAAATTTATATGGCTATGCAAAGATCTTAGAATCTCCAAAGCAATCTTGAAATTGAACAAAGTTAGAGGACTTACAATACGTGACTTCAAGACTTGCTACAAAGCTACAGTAATCAAGACAGTGTAGTACTGGTGTGATGATAGACAAATAGCTCAATGGAACAGAATAGAGAGCCCAGCTTTAGACTCACAATTATATAGTCATTTCAGTTTTTACAAAGGTGCCAAAAGCAATTCATGGGAAAAGGAAAGCCTTTTCAACAAATGATACTTGAACAACTTG